CAAAAATCTATAAAAAATCTTAAAAACTCTCACTATATATATATATATATATATATATATATAGTCAGTCCCTAAATAGACTATAACAATTTTAATTCAATATAATTTAATTAATATAATTTAATTTAATTATGCTTATTTAAATAATAAAAAGCCATATCATGAAACAAGCATTTTGTTTATTCAAAATGTCCATTTTTTTTCTTTTGATTTTGGGGTTCTGTCAGCCGACTCCCAGCATCAGCCTTGCCAGCTGACTCATCTTGCTGCCATAGCAACGCCCAGGCCTGAGGCAGCTGACTTCCTCCACAGAGTGTGTTCTATAGAGGGGCTACACCTGAGCATGTGATGCACTCATTACCGTCACACGCCAAATAGTCTGTGTCTAGGCACGCTTGTCAGAGAACAGCAGCAAGCCTCTCTTCATAGCTGTGAAATTACATTTCATAGCTCGTATTGAAGATAATACCATGAGCCTGTCCAAGCAAATTAGGGTTTAAGCCTATTTAGAGCTATTATAGACCTCCTTAGGGTAGGTGTCTATTTAATGTGTATGAAACAACAAACGAGCCTGTGAGGGACAGAAGTTTGTTCAAAGGGTCAATTGTACTGGTGTTGATCATTAATATATTGTTAACAGTAAAAGTATGTCTTTTCAAAAAATGTCCAGTGGACAAAAAGCCTAAAGAATAATATCTTGGTACAATAGTTATTAGTTGGCACATACCAGCAGATATTGGATATTTAACTGCACTTTTTTACAGTTTTTGCATTAAGATTACCTTTGCTGCCATCTAATGCTCACATTATCGTTTAAATGAATAGAGTTGGTAGGATGTTTTTGAATGAAGTGTCTTATGCTCATCCAGGCTGCATTTATTTGATCACAAATACAGTAAAAACAGTAATATTGTAAAATAATACAATTTAAAATAGCTGTTTTCTATTTTAATATATTTTCATTTAATCAATTTAATGCGTTCTTGCTGAATAAATGTATTATTTTAAAAAAAGAAGATTGTTTGAACCCAAACTTTTAAATGATATAGTGTAAAATAAAAAATGTTATAATACTGTTAAATGTAATCTTTAGTAAATCTCAAAATGAATATCCATTTTGCATACTGTACATAATAATGCCATAATATGAAAATAATTATTGGCTTATTGGTATCATTCAGGATTTTAGTATTAGTACAGCCAGTTGAATGCATTGAACATCAGTGCGTCACAGCCTGTTTTCGTAAGTGTCAAGTTAATTATGACGTTCATCCTGACTAATGTTCTTTATAATAAAATAACAATACGCAAGGGTTGATATGTAGAATGTTGGTGTTTAAATTCTGCAGGGAGGGTTAATCATTAGATATTCATAATCAGTTCATGTTTATTTGTGATCGTTTCATTTTCATCTGTTCTTAACATTGCAGATGGAGAGGGATAATCATTTTGTATGTGAGATAATGTGATTAATGCTGTAGCTGTAATGATGAAAAGTCTCTTAGACTGGAGAAGATTAAGCTAAGCTGCGTCTTATATTAAATGCCTCGGTTTATCTGAATTGCTAAATGACTAGTCGATTTGCGAGCTGGATGGTGTCAGAGGAGCAGGATGGTAAGATGATCTGGGTAAGTAATGGGCCGTGACTCAATTAAAATTCCATGCTGCCGAGCCAAGATGTTTATTAGCTCATCGTGCGATTGTGTGCGCACACTCACGCCCTCTGACTCATCACATTTCCCCGTGCTGAACGTGCACTCGGTCTGCACTTTACTCCACGGCTCACCTGACCTGCCAAACACACACTCACACAGATTATTTTTGTAACACTGATGCATTCCTGATTTATATGCTCTGTGATGAATGAATCATGATACTGTCTATACTTTGAAACCTGTATGGTAAATCTGATATTTCCTTCCTTGTGCTTTCATTCTGTAGGGAGTGTCTGTAATAGACACTGAAGAACAGATACACAATTGCTTCCCTTACCTTGATTTTTTTTTCCAGAAATGGGTCTGATTGAAAGTCTAACTCAGCAAAAACATTTTTAAAAATATATATATATTTTTAAAGGGATGGTTGATTATGATTTCACTGTTTTAACTTTAGTTAATGTGTAATGTTGCTGTTTGAGCATAAACAACGTCTGCAAAGTTACGACGCTCAAAGTTCAATGCAAAGGGAGATGTAAATATATTTAAATATTACAAAAGATATATTTCAAAAAAATTCTGTCTATTATTCAAAGAATCCACAAAAAATATTAAGCATAACAACTGTTTTCATCATTAATAATAATAATAATAAAAATGTTTCTTGAGCAGAAAATCAGCATATTAGAATGATTTCTGAAGGATGATGTGACACTGAAGA